TGCCTCATGCTGTGCTTAGAATTGTAGTCAACGGATGCTCGAATCTTATTTGCCATCCTCAATATTATACACACCTTTAGTTATTTGTTTGTCCTGTGCCATAGTTTGAAGTTTGAACTAATTTTGTAGTTCATCCGTCCAAAAATTCTTGTCTTAGATTTGTCTAGATATGGACGTATCTAACACTAAAGCGTGACTAGATATATCCGTATTTAGACAAATCTAAGACAAGAATTTTGGGACGGAGGGAGTAATTGCAAAGGAATTTGAACATAAACTGAGATGCAATGTTGTACAAGGTGGCCTAGGCTACCATCCATGTAGGCACTTGGCAGCCCCTTGCCGCGTTGATATTGCCATAGTCGGCAGGCTATGCACTAGAGCCACCTAGGAGGCGAGTAAACATTCATGTACTTGTGTAGTTGCATCAACATAATTAAAATTGTTTGATGCGAAGAATGTTGAGATAGTCAAAAATGCATTATGAATGTTTGCTCTTGTGGAATTTAAGGTATCCCTCAACTCTAGGTGCCAAATTTATGATATCTTATTTTACAACAACTTTGTGTTGAAATTTGCACTGTTGTCTGCTGGGCATTTCGCCTAGACGGGGTAGGCACCCTCCTGCTTCTGTCCTAGTAGAGTTAGGTGCTCTTCTGCTTCCCTCCTAGAGTCCTAGTGCTTTTCTGTGCACTGCAAAAAGGGCAGGTGGAAGTATGATTACCCACCTAAACTAATCATATCAGCTACTTGCTACTTAAACCAATGATGATTCATGGAATTTCTGATTGATTGGGTGGTGAAAGAAAGCTGCCTGTCAAACCAGGAGTATGTGCATGCGTAGAGGGGATGATTTTCTCTTCTTAGTACTTCTATTTTTTCAGTCTTTGTTTTTGACCGGGTTTTCAATGTCCTGGAGAAGTATTAGATCATATACATTTTTTTGGCATATCTTTTAAAGTAGGGACGTGCCAATATGGGATACTGATAACATTTTCTTACTCTTGCCTTTTTATTTCATTTCAATATGCATATTCTAGTAGTACTTCTTTTGGTTGCTCAAATACACATGTGCACTGTTGTGTTTCCCGATCTATTATTTAGTTGCTTTCTCTTGTTTATGCAGAATTTTGTGAAAAATATGCGAAACCAGAGGATGCTGGCATAACCCCAGAAGACAAGTCCAGTGATGAAGAGGAGCTTAGCGAAGACGAAGATGACTCCGGTGATGAGGATATAGTGGGCAAACCAGATCCTTAGTCACTACCACAACCCGTTGTATACAATGTTGGTTGCAAAATTTGCAATCAAATTGATCCAGAAAATCTGGGAAAGAGAACTTTGTATGTCATGTAAATAAGTGTACTTGTATCTTATCCAATGTTGTTTTCTTCAGTTGACCAATTGAATTTGCAGCATTGCATACATTCGCGCCTGTCCGTCTTTGTAGATCTGTGATCTGGTTCATAGAATAACAAGGGGTTAGCTTCTCGCTGAAGGTCATGCTGTGGGCTTTGAAGGGTAATTTTCTTCTGTTTCCTTATTTATTATTTTACCTCCCAAATTCCAGTACTTGTGTTTTTGGCTACATTTAGCTGATGAAGTTCTGGACCTGTCTGTTTCAAGTTGAAGTCCCGTTGTCAGCAAATTTGGTTGCCAAATTCGCAGACTGAAACTGGGGGCTGGGTGCAAATTTGACTAGGTTTTGCTCACGTTGGCTTTTGAACTTCTGTGGAAGATTGGTGGTGAGAGAAAATGTCTTTGGTTACTCTTTGTAGAGCATGTTCACCTCGTTTGGAGGCACAGGTTCTCGGGAATTATGGAAAAATATCACCAGCGTAGCATGAAAACCTGTAAAATCTATCTGGTCCTGCACACAGAAACAACTTTGGGTGCATACAACACAACTTTTAAATTCTCAAAATGGGCATGCATTTGCATGAAAAGTTACACATTCACATCTTGTAGCATATGCTATATCAATGTCTTTATTTCTCATAAACTGATGGAACAGACTATGCAGCGAGTGTTCCCTACTACATATGCAGCGAGTGTTCCCTACTACATACTCCTCTCCCATGGTGCCAATTCATCCTTGAATCGTAACTAGCACGCAATAATAATTTAATACCAAGAACACATACATTATTTTATTACAAACTGATGAATTCAGTTACATATTTGTACAATTTGCATAGCTGGAAGCTGCACAAAATGCAACGCAAAACATGAATAAAATAAACTATAGGGTTTGCACAAACGTGATGAAGCATACATGAATAGCTAAGGACTTATCCCTTTAGAATGTCAAAACATACATATGGTTGTAAGATATGTTAAAGTATCTAGGCATATCTCTATATTTGGTAGCATATGATTTGTAATCATCTTCTTTCTTATCTTTAGGAGGGACTTCTTGTCTTCCAAGCATGTACTCTATATAAACCACCCGAAAGGCTCAAGACAACATACATTGTATTCCGCCAATCCTTCTCTCTCTATATCATTGTACAAGTTACACAAGCAGTCTGTCGTCATGCTCATCCACAACCTAAGCATGTGACTAACGACCTACATCCAGTGAAGCATAGTAAATTCATCTAACATCAATGGTAGTCAAAGCTGGATTATCGGGAGAAGCATTCTGAACAACCACCCATGACCGTGGGTACGACCAATCAATTTGTTTTACACTCCGCACATGTTCACTTACCCACACGACGCCTCTCGTCTTGTTGTTGTGAAGTGCTATTGATACCTGCCTATCGAGGTATCGACACTGGGATCATATGAAAGGACGTCTCTCCCAGCATAGCATTACGTACAACACGAAGACAGTAAATACTAGAGGATTACTTAATGCCACATTCTAATATTTCATACTAGATCATACCTCAACCTAGAACCAGATGAATCACTCAAACATAGATGAATAAGAACAATGCTACAAAGATGAACGGTTCATTAAGTTCATCACCATGTTTAAATCTTACAAATGCAGTAGCAATGGAGGAATACAAAGATGGCGATGGTGGACGACACACACAACCTAGGCACAACACCTGGTGACGGTGGTGGCGTCTCTTACTCATTCTTTTGTGTGGATTGTGGTGGAGTAGGCGTTGGAGATGAATCTTGACTGAAAGGCCTTGAAAGCCGTCTTAATAGTTATGCAATTCATTCATTACAATTATATCCCTGTATTATATTATGTTTTACAGGAACTAATTCTCCCTGATCACTAATCATATCAACCAAGAGCTGCCGGGTCATAAACACAATGGCATACTAGATTATACTACATCAAGTTAAACATTCTGTTGACCTTAGCAACATTTTCTGTACTTCGGAATATTACTGACAAGTCTGCCAGGTCTCATTATGCTGGCTTATATGTTGATCAAGTTTCAACAAAATCCGGGTTATCATTTAAAACCCCGACTCATCTATGAAGGAAGGGGAATACTACAAGTATCATGATACTTAGCGGGTCGTCAATCAAAGCGCCGACCCAGTTTCCTTCAAAAGATGATATCCTCAAAATATCAAGCACGATGGCACCGCAAATAAGCAAGTGTTTTCACTACTCCTATTACAAGCCTAAATTGTGCCACACATAAGCAAGTTTTTATCAAGAAGGCTACTCGTTCAAGCCGGCCCCCGACCTCTCCGAGTTGACATATTTTTGTTGGCCTTCCGCGCTCGATGCTTCCGGGTCAACAGGTGCTGGCTCATCCTGCCTGGTCTAGAGGTCATTTGGCGTCCACTGAATAGTTAACAAAGCCTGGAAATTTGAGTCTTCGGTGACGATAACAGACGGGTCGACGCCAGGGGCAAAAGTTTGCTTACGGCGTGGAGGAGCCAGCACAAATGGCTTGAATTCAGGCGGGTTGATGCACTTGTTCTCTCTATGTAGCCGGCTTAGTACTTTGTCAAATCAAGCTCTTCAGGCAGTTGAGTGGCTGCCATTCGGGTTTCTTTCACACAGCGCACAAAATCCTCCTGGGAAAATTCAGTGCCGTCAACCTTAAACTGTGTAAACCTGCCCACCATCTCAGCCGGCTCCATCTTAGGAAGAAAG